ATTGTGGGTGGTTGCCGGGTACTCTGGTGTGGTTTGCTTGTTCTTTCATATCAAGCATCTATCGTCCTTATCTCTCCTTCTTCTTTTTTATGTTTGTTACGCTCTTGTAATGCCTCTAATCTCCTGGCGCTGATATGACCTTATGCAGTTGTGAGCACAATAAAACCTCTACTAAAACTTTTTAAAAACCAACAATTCTGCTTCCCTCAGATCTCGGGTCCGCCCAACAACAGCGACCTGATCCGCCAGCTCCACATCGCCTACCACAATGGCGACCACTACAGCAGCGTGAGACGGCTGGACGACAACACAGAGTCACCCGCACACATACGTCTACAGGTCTGTGGGCAGAGACTTTTTAGTGGGTGGTTGGCGGGTGCTCTGGTTTGGTCTGCTTCATTTTTTCTATCTCTTTTCCTCTTCACGAAAAAAAAATCTATCGTCCTTATCTCCCATTCTTCTTTTTTGTATTTGTTACTCTCTTGTAACACCTCTAATCTTCTGGCGCTCATATGACGCTGTGCAGTTGTGAGCGCCGTAAATCCTCTACTAAAACAAGAGACTTTTTAATTTAGTTTTTAGTTTTAGTATGAGTTTTACCGCTCTCGCATTCCAATTAGGTTACAAAAGTGCTGAAGATTTGAGGTGCCACTGGCGAGTAGCATACGAAGAAAAGAAGGAGGAGAGATAAGGACAGTAGATTTTTTTTTCGTGAAGAGGAGCAAACCACTTCCTAAATGACCTAAGTCATGTGGATAGGGATGTCATGTAAAACAATTGCAGTCATTTTCATAATGGGACTTGACTTGCTTAATTTAATCCTCTTTTGTTTTATTTGTGTTTTTCAGGATTCAGGACCAGAGTCGAAACAGAAGCAGGTCAGCGAGCATTGTGGGGGCGTGGTGCGGGTGCACCGAGGGCTGGAGGACATAGAGAACGAGGTGATGCTGGCCACTCAGTGTTCGGTGAGTCATCAACCCCCTCCTTCACCCCTCATGTATGTGTGTTTGTGTTTATTTGTGTGTGTGTGTTTGTGCGTTACTGTATGTGTGCTTGTGTGTGTCTTAGTATGTACGCATATGGTTTAATGTGTTTTTACTTCTGAATATTGTGGGTGTGAGAGAGAAAGAGGGAGAAAGAAAGCCCAACTTTCTTAGGAAAAATATTTTTTGTTGTACAATACTGACAAGTGAGCAGGGCCACAATTTAATCTCTTGATTTCCCCCACACCTCCACCTTCTTCTCTCCCCCCTTGTCCCTTCCCCCACTCCTCCTTCCATATCCCCCTTCTATCCCCCTTTCCCCTCCATCCCCCCTCCCTTCCTCCACCACCT